GACTGGCTTGCTATGGTTATCTCCAGCTGTATCCATTTTCCTACAAATTGTATAACTTTGTTTTTCTTTGTAGCTGAAAAAAAAAATGTTCTGTTGTGTCTCTCTAGAGCCTTGTCTTTCCCCTTCCCACTGTTGATGGACACCCTGGTGAGTCCATAACTTGGTTGTTGTCAATAATGCTGTGTAGTTTCTCCATGACTTGAGGTCCTTCAGGTAAAAGGCTCAGGAGTCACTGGCTCCTGTGCTAGATCTACTGTTGGTTTCTAGGGAACCCACCATGCTGGCTTTCCATAGTGGCTGGACTAGTTTCCATCCCTACCAGCAGTCTATAAGGATTCCCTTCTGCCACCCACTCCCTTGCATTTCTTTCATTTGTCTTTCTAATGATGGAATGACTGGGGTAAGATAGAGTCCCAACAAAGTTTTAATGTGCAATTCTGTGACAATTGGTAAAGCTGAGCATTTTTTCATGTGTTTAATGGCATTAGAGTTTCTCTTCTGGGAATGATCTGTTCACTTAGTGGTTACATGTATTGGTTGGTTTGTTTACATTTCTGTGGTTGGGGGCTTTTTAGTTCTTTGTACGTTTTGTATATTAGTCTTTTGTCAGGTGTATGGCTGGCAAAGATTTTCTCTGAGACTTGTCTCTTTATTCAGTTAACTGTACTCATTGACTCTGCCAAAGCTTAACGTCACAAGGTTCCATTTGTTGACCGTTAGCATTATTTTCTAAGTTGGTGTAGCTTTGAACATGGCAAGAAAAGAGACGATGCTACCCAAAGTCTTGTGGCCTTGTGTGGTTCAGACAGTCAGAAAACAAGGAAGAGTGGGGACAGGCTGACATGGTCTTTCCCTCTTCAGGTGGCTTTTGTGTGGTTTCCTTGGCAGGCCTTACCCTGGTGTTTTTCAGAAACAGCATAGTTGTTTGGGAAGATTACAGGCACCCATCATTTCCCAGAGACTGAACTGTGTTTAGCTCCTGACCCGCTGCTCCCGTTGACCAGTTGAGGAGGGAACATCCATGCCTGCTGTTTCTCAGATCCAATCTTGTGCAATTCAGGGAGAGCTATTGTCCAGGTCACCAGAGAGACTGCTAGAACAGATGGATTGGAGAGGAGTCCCAAGCAGTTACCAGAGACTGAGAATGAGGTTAGTGGTGGACTCATCTGAATGACAGTTAAAGCATAAATGTCTCTTCAAGCCCCCGTGTGGAATGAATGGATACTAGGAACCTTCTGAACAGAAAGGAGGACTCCTCCTTGGAAATTGTGTGATTTCTAAATGCTTAAATATAGCAAGTCCAAGCTGAAGTGTGTGGAAAATACAGAATTTCACAGGTTAGGACTAAAGAGGAATGCAAGCTGACAGACTTTATGCTCAGTTTGAAATGATAATAGTTGAGATGAGTGGGGTTAAATAACATAGTTATCAAAAAGAGTTTTATTTGCGATTGCTTTTCTGAACATATCTACAGGAGTGAAATTACTTTGAGAAGGGTAGCCCTAGTTATGTAGCCCAGGCTGGTTCTAAACTTGTGGAAATTACCCTGCCTCGACCTTGTAAGTGCTGAAATTATAGATATAGGCTACCATGCCCAACTAAAACAACTTGAAATTGCGTGTACAGTTCACATTCTATTTCCATTACTATTAGACACTGCTGCTTCACATAGAATTTTTGCCCTATTTTTGACTCCAGATACATTTCCCTCCACTTTATGACTTAACTACAAGGAGATACTTAATTAGCACGTATTAAGGCACTCTGCTCTAGTGGCTCACCTCAGAGAGAGGGCTCACCTCAGAGAGAGGGCTCACCCCTATCTGGTCACAGACCGCCCCTGCTAGACTTCCTGGTCTATTGGGAGTACCCTCTCTCCAGAGGCCTGTCCTGATGACATCTATCTATCCCATAGTCTTTTCAGTTCTTGCATTGCCTTTCTGATCTTCCAAACGCATGAAGGAGCTATATGAAGATCCTTATAAACCTACTGTGAGCTGAACACCTGGCTGCCTGACACCACAGTTCAGCAGTGCTCACTGTAGAGAGCCTGGTGTCCACTCATGATCATGTGGCTTCTCAGTGACTGTGACCTTCTGTCCAGAATTATGATGAGACCATCATATAAGCTATCACTGGCCTAGAAGAAGTCCAAATTTTGAAGTATAAGTTTCATGTGTTTTCTTGATTGGTAATTGCTTTAATTTTTTAAATTTTAAATTGCTTTTAATTTTCTTTCTACATGACCTTGCCATGTAGACCCAGCTGGCCTAGAATTCACTATGTATGGGAGATTAGCATCAGATTTGTGGTAATCCCCCCTGCCTCTGTTTCTTAAATACTAGAATTACTACAGTGTTAAGCTGTGTATTTTTTTGAGACAAGGTCTTGCCATGTAGCCCAGACTGGCCTAGAACTCTCAGTGCTTCTTTGTCAGCCTGTGTAGTACTGTGATTACAAGCATGCACCACTATGCCTGGCTGTGAAGTATGGTTTTTATACCCTAGTGGAGTAAAAAGCAAAGTGAACTCGTCATTAGTGAGGGCCTGTATATGACCCCAAGAGAGAGTGGAGACTGTTCATTGCTTTGTTTACTGGATGCAGAGCAGAGCCTTCTTCATTCTGGCCTTCAACAAACATTTCTAGAATTGCTAAATATACTAGTTTTAAATCTGATTGAGATTGTTCAGACTGAGTCTAATATGATGTCCTAGCCAAGCACCATAAGGAATCAGCCACTGTGCTAGGCACTGAGCATATGCCACAGAATTCAGTCGTTTTTTAAAGAGAGAAGAGTAATTCACCAGAGCTGTTTGGACACTACCTTGTGCCTTCTACTGGGCTCTCCAAGATGGAGTCAAACAATGTCAGACACTGAGCAGTGTGAGCTCACCAGTGGTCAGGGACTGCTCTAGTTACAGGACAGACAGGTCTCTGTGCACTTCTGTTCTGAAATGCACACCACAGAGCCTGAGGACTTCAGAGAAGGGCCACATTGGGCTCACTTTTCTAGCTGTGGAAGTTTAGAGGGAGGGCCTCTTAACACAACCAGATTACCAAAGCTACCATAAGGCCAATATGTAAAGCAGAGGCTCATTTTTTGTTTATATGTACCCTGCAGTAGGCCTCGGGGAGATGACTCTATCAGTACAGTGCTTGCCGTGTAACCACGAAGACCGAGTTACAATCCCCTGGCAACCATATAGGAAGCACTGTGGCAGTGTAATCCCAGCACTGGGAAGATGGTGACAGGTAGGGCTCACAGGCTAGCTAGTCTGGTCACTTGGGACCTCTAGGTTCAGTAAGAGATTCTGCCACAAAAATGTAAGGTCAAGAGCAGTTGAGGAACTCATCTCATTCCCACTTCTGGCCTCAAATACGTACCCACACCCCCACACACAAACACACACATACATACACACACATACATACACACACACATACACACACACATACACACGCACACACACACATACATACACACACACACAAAATGCCTATAAACAAACAAACTGTTCACCTTAACTGCGTCAGGATCATGCAAGGGGGTGGAGTAATGCATCCCCATAAATATGTACGTCACATGTAATGTTCCATATTGTCTTATTTGTAACTGTGAATAGATTTGGTTTTGTGTTTTAAAAATGATTAAAACAGTGTTGCTGAGAAAATTGGAAACAAAACACCACAAAGTTTCCCTGCATTCAACAGGGCCTGCTTCTCACATCGTGATTGTTTTCATCCCCTCTGCACCTCAGCTAGAAAATGAGGACTAGCTCCCAGGCAGAGGATCAAATAAAACAAAGACTGATTTCGTTCTGGAGAACATGATGGTGTTATAACCCCCAGTGCTAACCACGTCTTCCCATGTGTCACAGTTCTCTTGAATAGCCAGCTCTTTCTCAACCTCTTTGGAAAGTGCCTTTTATTAGTCACAAAGCAGGCAGTATATCACCATCATCCTCCCTTATGCTCCAGTCAACCTGAAGACACAAGAATTGTCCTCACGAGCTATTAATAAAATGGTTCTTGGAAGTTAGATGAACTGCCCAAGTTCATGGAGCTAACAAGAGGCAGGCAAAGCCTCTTGGACCCCACCCTGCCTCTGTTGTGCTGGTTTTACCCCTTCAGAAAGAGTGCAATCTAATGACGTGTTTCACAGATGATTCCGTAGTTGACTAAAACTCTGTTCTCGATGGCAGCCACATTCTAGGCACTCGAGAAAGGCTCTGCCATCCAAAAGCATTTCCCAGACTCATCTTCCCTAGATCAGGATAGTCCCACGAATAGAATCTGTCTCACTGGGTAAGGTGACCCATCTCCTAAGACCCATTTCCTAAGGACAACGGCATTTATACACAGGTAACATTGAACATCATTATCAAACAACATACCATCAGTTATTCAGAAAACACATCTGGCAAGGTCCCAAAGGACTGATGCCTGGGACCAGCATAATTTTATGGAAAGGGCAAAGTGACTGGCAAAAGGTAGTTACAGAGCAAGAATGTGTTGCAGAGGTGTTACTGTGGAACTTTGAATAACCTAGGGACATGGGAAAGCCAGATGTGGCAGAGATGTCACTAATAGTCTGTATGTCTCACTATCCTGCCAAGCTTGGGCACAATTACTAATTAGCTCATAGACAGCACAGAGCAGGGAATGTTGTCATACATGTGACTCTGTTCCCACGAGCACATAATCCAGCTCAGCCATGAATTTTACAAACTTTGCTGTGTCAACAAGACTGTGGTGCGTGGTACTATGGCTAACTGAATAAAAGCTCAGTCCCCATCATGATGCTTAAAGGCCCTTCTCCCAAAAGCTTGCTCAGAGTCCCTCTCAGACTGAGTCAGGAAGGACTTTGGGATATTTGTTTGGGAACATTGCGGCTCATTTACAAAGGGAAGGGAAATTTCTGAGTAGTAAATTTCTGGAAACAATTGGCATTAAAACAGTGTCTCCTCTCTTACTTAAATGGATGTAATATCTCCTCACAGAAGAAGCGCACGTTGAAGGGCTCCATCGAACTCTCCAGAATCAAGTGTGTGGAGATTGTCAAGAGTGACATTAGCATCCCATGCCACTATAAATACCCTTTTCAGGTAAGCATATCAGGACTACACCCTGGACCATGGTCAGAATCCTCAACTCTTGTGAGAGAAGATGGGGAAAGGGTGGCTTTCCCCCTTGCTGAGAGCTTAGACCAAGCCCACAGGAAGGCCTTTGTGTTCTTCGACCAACCAGTGACATTCACTCATTCATTCCACAAAGGCATAGACTCTTGAAGAGATTCTTGGTTCCTGTGGTGCTAGGGATTGAACCTGGGGCTTTCCATATGCTATCCAAGCCCCCTGCCATATATTACAGCCCCAGCCTCAAGGAGGTCCTAATTCCTGTTTCTCGCCTGGAGTTTCTGAAATTTCACAGTCTGAAAAACATCTGGAGATGGTTGTGCTGTTCAAAATAGCACCACCTGCAGAAAGTGAAGGCTTGCATGTAAATGACGATGGGAATTAAGTAGTGTTAAATAAGTAGTACCTTTCAAAGGGTCAGCAAAATGGCTTAGCAGGCAGAAGCACTTATGTGCAGGCCTAGTGACCTGAGTTCTACCCCCTGATCTCAGAAAGAGGGTGGAAAGAACTCTGAGGATTGTCCTCTGACCTCCACATTCAAGCCATGATGCAGTGTGTGTGTGTGTGTGTGTGTGTGTGTGTGCGTGTGTGTGTGTGTGTTCAAAAACACACACAGTAATAGGGCAAGAATGAAAGAAAGATTTCTTGATTTTAAAGTTCAGCATGCCAGTTACTGTTTTGGTCCCATTGTAAATGTTGAGTAGCCACTTGCTACTAGAGAGTGCTGCATTGACAGCACAGGTCAGTGTGCTGTGAAGAAAGCTCCACTGACTGATAAGTGTACCTTTTAGTCTTTATCTTGTTCACTACCCTTGGTAGTTATCCCCTCCTACATCCCAGATGTCTCTCTCGATTGCCCACAAGAAGGCAGATATTCCTAGACTATTTTTTTCAGTGCTGGGAATTGAACCTAGAGCCCTGAGCATACACTAGGCAAGTGTTCAAGCTCTGAGCTCCATCTCCAGCCCACAGTCCATTTTTAATGAGTCACGGAGAAGAGGTTTTTTTAAAAATAAAAAAAAAAAACCTGGAAAAGTAGACCCCATGAATCAATCTATCTCTCTCTCTCTCTCTCTCTCTCTCTCTCTCTCTCTCCCTCTCCCTCTCCCTCTCTCTCTCGCTCTCCCTCTCCCTCTCCCTCTCCCTCTCCCTCTCCCTCTCCCTCTCCCTCTCTCCCTCTTTCTCTCCCTCCCTCCCTTCCTTCTTCCTTTCTGTCTCTTCCCGCCTCCCTTCTTTTCCATATCTCCAGTCTGGCTTGGAACTTGGAATTCTTCTGCCTCAGCCTCCAAAGTGCTGGGATTACGGCTGCCCCACCACACTCAGCCTGAGGTGAAAGTCGTAAAATGAAAGTAAAAGAAAGAACAGAAATTCCCACTACTTAAATGTGCCAATTACAAACGACTCGAGGTGGGGGCAGATACTAATGATGTTTCAAAGACCCATGGCTTGGTTAATAGTTTCCTGCTTTAGAATCGTGCTTGGATTCTACAGGATGCCACCAGTGAGGAAAGGTGAGCTAACACACAGGCTCTGTGCTGGGGAACTCCTGGTGGATCTTACACTTTACCAAGAATTTTAAGAGAATCTTCAGTCAATGTTTGTCATCTAATAACTTACTCTTCCATATGACAGGAAGGCTTCTCTAATGACTGAAAAATTAAGATCAGATATGTTTATGTTTATACCCACTGGTGGCATAACACCCAAGAGAAGCCACCTACACTGTGGAAGGTCACCCTGATGACACAGCACCCAGACATTTTGATGAAAAGCACATTGGTTCCCAAGTCACCTAGATTAAATGATGCTAAACACTGAGATGGACCTGACATGGGTTCCTCGTTTCTAGGTGCCCTGTTTATCTTGAATTCTTGTGTACTTCCAGGTTGTGCATGACAACTACCTCCTGTATGTGTTTGCTCCAGACTGCGAGAGCCGGCAACGCTGGGTGCTGACCCTTAAAGAAGGTAATTAAACACCTGTGTTGAGTCACTGGGGCCTTGATCTTGTGCTGGGCTTGGGCTCTATGAAGGATTCTGTGGGCAGCTGGTGTTCAAAATTTATCTATTTATTGTTGGTCAGTGTCTAGCGTGGGCCCTGGAGCAGCAACAAGGGATTGGCCAAATCCAGCTCACCACCTGTTCATGTAAGGCTTCAAGATAAAAACAGTTCCTGTATTTTTAAAACATTTCAAAGGACTTTATAAGCACCCACATGATACCCTTGATTTTGCCTCTTGGCTAGTCAAAACTAAAATATTTACTATCTGGCATTTTAAAACTGTTTGCTTACTCTAGGAAGATAAAGAGTGAGAGCCCCTCTGGTTAGATCACAAGGCTTGACATCCTGCCTCTTCCTTCTGTTCTAGGGCAAGTTCCTAACTGCAGTCTCCCTAGCTGTTAAACAAGATAGGGAAAGGGCACTCAGAACCCCTCTGCACAGCTGCAGTGGGTAAAACACTTAAAACTAGCAACCATAGCCAGTGCCCGGGAAGCATTAGCTTGTTTGTTTGTTTGTTTGTTTGTTTGTTCATTTGTTCATTTTTGAGACAGGAGTTTGTGGAACCCAGTCTGGCCTCTAATTTTCTAAGTAGCCAAAGCTGACCTTGAACTCCTGGTCTTCCTGCCTTCATTTCCCTAATGCTAGAATTACAGGTGTGCACCACCATGCCCAGTTATCCACATCTTCAGCCTCATATTCCCGACAGCATAATTAGAACCCACACGGTGTTCATAATTAAAACTCACACAGACTGCTGTAGTGAAAATCCATAAAGTGCCAGTTGTTAGTATTTTACTTGGGCCTTCATGTACCTCGGTTTCCTCAGCTATAAAAGTTATCTAAGCACAGTCTTAGGGCTGTTGTGAGAATCAAATGAGTTAGGACATGTACTGTGCCTTTAAAAATTCTCACCTGAAAACAGTACCTGCTCAGTGTTAGTATGCTTACCCTTTAGCCTGAAGCCCCCAGTGTGTCAGGAGACCTGTCTTCAAGCAGCCATGAGGAGAAAGGAAGCAAGCCCCTTACTATGTCTGGAGTCACAGTACCTTTCTCTGGAAAATGAGGCTAAGTGATCACCTACAGGCTTCCAGGGTCAAGTCATTCTCAAATGGGATAGGACCGAGCAAGCACTGCACCAACCACAAAGTGCTCTCAAGCCCAGTAGCCACGGCTCACAAACAGATGCCAGGTCAAAACGAATAAAGAACCCCAGCTGCACTCATTTTCCTGTATCTTATAGTGGGGTTTTGATATGAATTTCAAAACTGGAACGAGCCCTAGAGATTAGCTAATGTTGAAGGGTTTCTTGTTTTTCACTAACAGAGTTCTGTTTATTCCTAATAAATTTTACTTCAAAGTCATAAACCTAGAGAGAACAGAAACAAATTTAGAGGGCCCCAGGGCAGCTCAGTTGGGAGAATACTTACCTACCATGCATGGAGCCCTGGGTTATAACACCAGCACTATACCAACATGATATGGTGGCACTTACCTGGAATCCTGGGACATGGAACATAGAGGCAGAAGATCTGGAGTTTAAGTGCATCCTCAGTTTTACGGACATGAAACCTTTTCTTAATTTTTTTTTTTTAAAAAGCAAAGTTGCTGTCATTCAAAATGAGAGAGATGGAAACCCCCACCCTCCCAACTTTACCTTTAATCCTTCTGGGCTTCATTATAGAGCCCATTCATCCAGTTGATGGCATACTGGGGAAACTGAGGCTCAGACAAGAGCTCCCCATCCTACAGACACACATAGCTAACTGAAAGCAAATACAGAAAAGAAGCTAGGTCCGCTGCTGCCAATGCTCCCTGAGTAAACAACCTCTGGGGTTGCCTGACTGTTCCTGTTAGGATTTGGGGCACACCTCAAGGTCCAGTCTCAGGGAGTGAGAAGATGGGCAATACTTGATCAGCTGGCCTAGAAATGAGTCCTCGGTTGCTACCATCTCTTTCAGAAACGAGGAACAACAACAGCCTGGTATCCAAGTATCACCCTAATTTCTGGATGGACGGGCGGTGGAGGTGCTGTTCCCAGCTGGAAAAGCTTGCAGTAGGCTGTGCTCCCTATGACCCAACCAAGAATGGTAAGACTTTGGGAAAGAGATAAAGAGGAAACCATTTCAGTTTCCCATCAACAGGGCATTAGAGATGGACAGCTAAATCCTCTGATTCCAGAATTCTCATTGGGGCACCTCTGTCTACCACCACCCCTTTCATGCTTTTCCATGTCAAAAATGATACACTCGAAGTATAGTCATTGGTCAACCATCTATGCTACCTAGGAGCTAGTTATAGATATAATATATATGGCCCTGCCGAGTGTACTAGATCAGAAGGTTCATGTTAACAATATCCATGGGGACTGGTAGATGCAGTAAAATTTGATAAGTACTTCAGTAACCTGTTGGGGAATTTGAACGGTCTTGGATTTTTTTCTTTTCTTTTTCTTTTCTTTTCTTTTCTTTTCTTTTTTTTTTTGTAGCCCTAGCTGTCATGGAATTCACTCTGTAGACCAAGCTGGCTTTGAACTCACAGTGATCTGCCTGCCTCTGCCTCCCAAGTGCCGGGATTAAAAGTGTGTGTCGATACTGCCCAGGCCGTCTTGTTAGATCTTAAAGGATAGAGACAACCTTAAGTACACAACATTTATTTTGTTTAGTGACATCACACCATGCATATGTCTAATTATATAATTCAATTCTCAGGCTTAAGAGAGAGAGAAAAAAAAACCTTCTCTTAATTTTAACTCTGGCTTCTTCCTTCCTGATCTTCAGACTTGCCTTTGACCTACTTAGTCTCAGAGAAAAGGAATCCATAATCTAAATGCAAAGTAGAAACAAATAAAACGTTTGTTCTTGGTTTTTCCATCAAAAGCTTAGTCCTGAGGTTTAGACTGTGTCTTGATTTTTCTCTAATGCCATGGTGACTTGGAGGCCTCCACCTTGCACTAACTGTAGCTCTACTCAAATGCACTTCACAGCATTGTACTTTGCCTCTTCACATCTGTCTCAGGTGAGGTCAAAGAAATGGATAACCTTGAGCAGTTCAAGGTCACACAGTTAGAAAGGGATAGAAACGATTAAGTGCTGTACTTGAGTTTTTCTCATCTCTCAGCCTCTCCTACCACGGATACTATTTCTCCCTCTGTGGTTTTTACTGCCCTAACACAAGGCGGATATAACACATAGCTGGGTTTTCCATGGCTTCCTGAGTCACAGACTCTCTGCACCACTTTAAAAACCATGGCTTTTCACCTTGCACTCGGGAAAGAATCGAGGTCATCAGTCTGCTGCCCTGCATGAATAATATTTAGCATTGTGAAGGTCAGTGCCCACTCCTTGGTGCTGTCGATTCTGCTTGCTGTATCTGAGCAGAAAGAACAGAAAGTTTGGTTGTGTGGATCACCTTACAGGGTTGGCAGGATGCCAGGCTCCTGAGGGGAAGCCCTCCCAGAGTCAGAGCTGGTCTCTGATTCCTTCCAAGGGTACTTCTTTGGACACTAGGAAAAGTCACCTGGTGACCCGAGGTCCTAATGTCCTCATGCTAAAGTGGGATGAGAGAAGTCTCGGAACCCTAAGGTGATGTAATTAATCCCCCACTGGATTCCCTTCTAATCTGCTTCCATTTTGCAGTTGTCACCATATAGGTTGCAGTGTTCATCAGCAGGGTTCATAGGCTTTCCCTCACCCTAAGACATGTGGCTGGGGTGCTACAAGTGGTTGAGTAACTCACTATGACTACCCTTGGGAGGGCTGGTCTTTGCAAGCTCCTCCACACTGTCCCGATAGCTGAACAGTTCTCAGCCATGGTCATGCGTGTGAGGTGCAGCCATTTGGCTGATAACTTGGCTTCTGCACAGCAACCCACTGCCGCCTCTTCTGAATTAAATAGCACTGCTCCCCATAGTTTTAGCAGGATGGCAGGCAGTTTTGAGAAGCTCACTTTACTGTGCACATAGCACATCGTCTTCCTGGGGTAAAGGCTCATAAGATTCCTGGTGTTGAATACATCAATAGTCTATGAGCATAGGGCTTTGGAATTTAAAAAAAAATAGTCCTAGCCATATCCTTTTCTTGTGTAACTTTATGTGTTCCTTAACTTCTCAGAGCCTCTCAGGTAATTTCACCACCAACAGATAGAATAATGGGCCACTCCTTTGAGTGACTGTTAGAAAACTCATTAGACTGTTGGAAAACTCTTAGCTCATTGCCAGCTTTACTGAGCTCTCTGTGAATGGTAACCAAGTCCAGGAGCTTTTCTTATTTGTGATGAAGGCATCTGAGTCTGAGATCAAGCAGCATCTGAGAAACAGCAAAATGGTTGAGAGGAAATGACCTAGCAACACACATTTCTGCCACCATAGCCAGTCCTAACTACACAGAGGGAGAATGGGAGCAGAAAGAGCAAGATCACCACAGAAAGAGAAAGTGACCAGTCACAGATAACCAGGCAGAGAAAGGGCTCATTCTGGTCATGCTAGGGTTAATCCAGTTTCGTGGCCTAGGTCCCATGCTAAATAGAAACCAGATGTGACCCACTCCACTGTGTGTGTGTGTGTGTGTGTGTGTGTGTGTGTGTTGTTTGAGATTAAACCTGTGGTTCTTGGATACAAATGATACCATTGAATTTTTAATAACCCCAACCCAGAAGCCAGAGTTCTAGTTTTATATGATTTCTTTGTCTGTTCTCTGTATACACATGCCAGTAGCAGTGAGCTCCAGTGTCCACATATGAATCTTATTCACCACACCCATGACGCAGGCTGTCTTCAGATCTACCATAGTAGGGATGAACGCCTTCCACCCTGCCTGTACGGACCATTCCCTTATCTCTAGTGCTTAAAGAGATCTCTTTACTGAACTACACGCTGTGCACATACCCGCATGCCTTTCATACTCCTCTCTCTCCCTCCCTCTCCCTCTCCCTCCCCCTCCCCCTCCCCCTCCCCCCCCCACACTTTTGGTCCATTTCAAGGCCTGGCCTGTGACGTGTATGACATAAGGAATATGGTCCATAGATCAGCTAAGAGAGAGAGAGAAAGATAAAGGAAGCAGATAGGGATAAGAAAGGAGAGAAGAAACAAGAAAGATGAGAGCTGAGTGAAAGGAGACATGAAGACACAAATAAGAGAGAAAGAGAGAGATCGATTTGAAGGTGTGTCGTTTGAGTGAGGCATCGAGACCATCTATTTAAACGCCTCAAGACAACTAAAAGCAATATCAGCCCACTCAGAAAGCACAGAGTCCTCCCACCTCATCAAACCCACAGTGGCATCAGGAAGGTAGTGAGTCACTGTCTCTGAGTCACATATTCCCACTCCCGAGCTCAGAAGGTAACATATGTGTTCATGGAAGTCTCTACCTGCAGAGAAGAGCCCAAATCTTGGGCCCTCTCCAGTCATGGGGATACAGAAGGAAATCCCAAAATTCTGACTTCTGGAAGTTTCTAGTATCCTCTAGAAAAGGGGATTGGAAACTAGCAAGTGCAAGATATGAAAGACAGGTTTTACCAAAGTTGATTCCGGTGTCTCTGTTTCATCATCTTCTTCTACCTCTTTCTCTGTCCCTCTCCTTGGGCCCCCTTTTCTCTGAAAGGCTGGGGTTTCATGTTCATTTTCTTTTTCTGTTTTTCTTGTTTCAGCTTCAAAGAAACCTCTTCCTCCTACTCCTGAAGACAACAGGGTAAGTGAGGTGGGCTTGTGTGCTGTAAGCCCAACTGTGGTCTCTGTCTGTTAGGTCTGTGTACTTGTGGTAGACAGCTATTGGGGTATATTTAACACATTGGGTTTGGCAGTGCTGTGTAGTGCAGTGCTTCTCAACCTCCCCAATGCTGTCACCCTTTAAAACAGTTCCTCATGTCGTGGTGACCCCCAACCATAAAATTATCTTCATTGCTATTTCATAACTGTAATTATGTTGCTTTTATGAATCATAATGTAAATACCTGGTATGTGTCCATTGTGAAAGGTTGACCTCTGAAGGGATCAAGACTCACAGGTTTAGAACCACTAATTAAGTGGGTCTGTCCACTAAAGGGACCATTAAGGTTCTGAACCACCATCTTGCTATACACAGTCCACAAACACTGGTACCAAGCTATTTTTATGCCTCACCATAGAGTACTCCAGAGACAAACTCCTGATAATACTTTATATATTCCTAAGTACATCCAAACTTAGCAAACCAAGTACCAAGAAGTCTTAAGGCTTTCCCCCAAGGCTACTCAGGTACTAACAGGACCTGGAGTTTCTGGTGTACAGATTGGGAAGTGATTGTTCTCCAGATATGAGCCATAGACTTCCAGCATCAGCCACACTGGAGAGCATGTAAGGATGCAGAGCCCTAAGAACACACCCAGATCCACTGCAGCCATAACCCTGGGGGAGAGGCTCTTTATCTGCATACTAATTAGTTCTTGTGATTCTGAGATATACTCAAGTTTGAGAAACACTGCTCTGTGGTAAACTGATTTACAAGACTTGACATAGAACTAACTTTGGAGAAGAAAAAAAACAAGGAAACGATCAGCCTTCACATTCTGGCCATCTTAGCATCAGTGTTCCCATTCGATTGCTCACCCTCAGAAACTTCCACTTTGTCCCCCTCATGCTTCCTCCTGAAGAGTGAGCTCTGATTTTCACCCCCAGCCAACACAGTAACATCTCAAAACTGGCAGCATCCTCAGAGGTGAAGCTAAATCCTCCAGCCTCTCCTCAGCTGACACTGAAACATCACAGCAGAGACACGTTGTTGCAGAAAACCGGGTGTCTGCTGATCTCTTTAACCTTCTGAGCATCACTACAGCAGCCGCCTAGTAGCTGAGGCTTGGAAGCCCACCCAAGCCCACTGTTCTCTCTGAAGTTACCCCATTCCTCCCTTGCCCTCAATGTCAGTGGAAGTAAAGTCAGAACATGCTGCTTGTCCATCACTCTTCCAACTCCACCATTAGGATTTTAGGGCTCCTTGGAGATGCAGTGTTTTGTGAGCAGTTTCATCATAACCATGTCGTCCACATGTCTAAAACCACTGCAATGTTTCTCTTATTCCTTGCCACTTGAAGTCATTTCTGTCTTCCCTTTCTTACCTGCAGGACAATGGCATCTCAGGTTGTCGTATAGAGGAACAATATTTAGTGCCATGTTTTCAGACCGTATGCTCTGCCCCAGCTTCATTTCTCTTGCTGTTGTAAGATAACCTGACCAAAAGCAGTTTAAGGGAGGAAAGAGTTTATTTGGCTTAAATTCCAGGTCATAGTCTATCATTGAGGAAAGTTAGGCAGCCACTCAAGGCAAGAGCCTGTAGGCGGGCTTGATTGCTAGTCCACACAGCCTTAATCTCCAACCCACTTCAAAGCAAAGGACGTGTGGCAGAAACCACAGATGTGTGTTACCTAGCTAGCTTTCTTATGTTTTTCAGGGCTACCTCCCTAGGGAATGGTGCTGCCCACAGTGAGCTGGGCCCTCCTACATCAACAACAAGGCAATCCCCCATAGACATGCTCATAAGCCAATCTGATCTAGGCAGTTCCTTAATTCACTTCTAAGATAATTCTTAGTTGTTATTAATCAGGTTGATAGCTAAGGCTAGCCAAGACTTGTTCTACTTGAGGAAGACTGTGGAGTTGCCCTCCACAGGAACAGTGTAGTTGTTGTTAGTCAAGACGGAGGTCATAGAAACCCATAATCACAGGCTTTCTATCCTGTGGGTGCACATGGGGCCAGGTCCAGATGTTTAGACCCGAGTTATTTCCAGTTCTCTCATCCACAGAGCTTAGCACATCATACCAGGTCTAGTTAACCCAGAAGAGCTTCCTAAGGGACCACATGAATATGTCTGCTTGTGCCCTTCTCCTGGCTCCCAAACAAGGAACCCCTTTTTATTGCCCCACGTCTGCCTGCATCAGTATCGTGGAGCTTAGCTCACTTACAACCAGGAGAGCTCCTAGGGGCCAAACCTGTTCTTAGTCATGCAGTAGAGTGACCAAGAAACGAGACCTTCATCGACTGCAAGTCTCTTCTACACATCCAGGGCCTCAGTCGGTCCTTCTTGAGCCTTTGGCCATCATTTTCTACAATGCCAACTCTTGATTTAATCTAGTGATTCTCAACCACATCCTACCTAATGCCCCCCTTTCATGAGAAATGTTCTATAAAGATCCTTCTGTTACCCTGAGGGGAAAACCATTAAGTAGGGGCTAGTGAGATGACTCAGCAGTAAAGAACAGTGACTGCTCTTCGAGGGGATCCAAGTTCTGTTCCCACACCTGTACTGGGTTACTCACAGCCAGCTGCCTGAAACGCCAGCTCCAACTGATCTAATGCTTTCTATTGGCCCCGGAGATTGCCAGTACTCATGTGGCATGCATACAGATAGACACACACGCATGCATAAAGAGAACGGAAAATAAATATTTTTTTTAAAAAACTTAAATAATACAACTTATGTAAACAAACACCTCTAAAGAGAATCAAGAAATATAGTGTAATACTGAAAACAGAAAAACTAGAATAGACTGTATTTATAAATGTTAATACGGTACTGTGAGTATTTGAGAAGTCACGATGGAATAAGCCACTGCTTGTTTCCCATTGACAGCCCACTGTGGTTGGCAACTTAAGTGCAATAGATTCAGGGATGTTTTACTGATGGTTCAGTTCTAGTGTTTCCATGCGTGATAAGATTTTTCCAGAATGGCAAACAATTCCCCAAAGTGTTCTAAATTAAACCAAGTGTAAGCGCCCTCAGTGCATAGGTAGTGACACTCCTGGAAAAACTGGCCCTTCGTGTTGAGTAGAAGTGGGATCTAGCCTTTGGGTCTTTTTGAATAGTGTAAAAGTCTAATGAGCTATCCATTGTGCAACAAAGGCCTCTCGTGTATTATAATTCTATGCCAGGTTCCCCATGTGGATGTCAATTAGGACATTCAGAAGTTGGAAAGTCTGTGAGACACTGCAGAACATTTTGCATTCTTGGCCCTTGCCTTTTAAATACCCCCACTATGTGTTCTACATGACCCCTGAGAAGTGTACCATCATTTTGAAACTCTGCCCTAGCCTTTTGCCTTTTTCTTTTAAGGGTTAATCAGGGACTTGGTTCTACAGTCACATGAACAAGACATCACTTTGGTCCCTTTTTCAGGTGCCTTGAACATAGTTTATCCATCTGTTAGATCTATGCATGGACTCAGGTCCACAAGCTCTTAGCTCTCTAGAGGATCCAGCCCACCACCTTATTTCAAGCTCCAGTAATATCCAGACTTGAGTGTATTTGGAGAATTTGTGACTTCTCAACACTACATCATCTTCTAACCAGTAACTTAGTCTTTTCCCATATTTACCCTGTTCCTAAATCTTTTCCCATATTTACCCTGTTCCTAAATCTGCCCCTCAATTCTCAGGTGTGCTCATCTTGATCTCTGGCAGTTGTTTGTCTTATGAGCTGTTTTTCATGTCATTAATATCTTATGCTAGTTGAAATATGGGATGGGACAGAGGCATAGGCCAAGGTTTCTGCAAGAGAAAGAAAGGAGCCATATGTTACTATGGAGGAAACATTGAGATGAATTCCCTGGGAATGGTCTATGTCTATTCCCTGCCATTGAGTCTGATTACCCATTCTAAATAAAGCCATTGGTAAAATGGGCTCTTGAGGCTCTGCTAGCCTCTGATTTGATGGATCTGGGGGAAAAAAAATCATGTTTCTGATGAGCCAAATTAGGAACCAATAGATTTCTGTGAAAAGTGAATGGCTTCTTAGAATTCACTGGGATCAGCATCTACCTTGCAGAATGCAGGAGGTGGGGACTGCTGCTGTGTGTATCTGTTCAGCTCCACAATTCTAACTCATACAGAATGCTTCCTTGATGAAAGCAGCTGCCTCTGCAAATGACCCCAGTGGCTAGAGGGAGCTGAGAGGTTGACGTAACCTAAATCCAGGATCTCACTCCCTGCTTGTGTCTTTGCTTAGTTTTGTTGTCTCTTCCCCAGCGGTCACTTCAGGAACCAGAAGAAACCCTGGTCATTGCCTTGTACGACTACCAAACCAACGATCCTCAGGAGCTCGCGCTGCGGTGTGATGAAGAGTACTACCTGCTGGACAGCTCTGAGATCCACTGGTGGCGAGTTCAAGACAAGAATGGGTAAGGCAAGCGCATGGCTACTATGGGAACAAAACAACTGTGGGAAGGAATATCCCATCTCCCTCTGCTGCCCTGAGGCTGGGCATGGGTGCTTCCACCGCCATACCTACTCCCTGTACCTCATCTTAAGCCACTGTTCTCAACTTGTCTAAATGCCTCTCCATTTTTCACTCACTCTGTTATTTTCTTGAGTTTTTAAATACATGTTAAATACACCACATAGTGATATGAGTGGAAAGAAAAGGCGTGTAATAATGACATAGAGCAGCGGTCATGTTAGAAAGTCTCAGATGGCACCCGAGACTCCGTTATGAGAGCAGTCATTAGATGACGTATGGACACAACAAAGTTCTGCAAATACTAATGACCTACTGTGGGTTTGGATGAAAAACAACTCAAGGGTCCTCGTCTAATATGAAACAATTACTGTAACCAATATTCTTATATACCAATGTCAAGTGTTAATATTATGAAGTACCATTTGTACCGTGTGTGTGTGCATTGAGTCCCCTCAAACTGGAGTTACAGGTGGTTGTGAACCACCATGTTGGTGCTTACGGGAGTCAAACCCAAGTCCTCTGCAAGAGCAACAAGTGCCCTTAACCCCTGAGCCATTTCTGCAGCCCCTTCGGTGTTATTTTGAACAAAGCTTGAGAGAAGACCAGGCATTGTTTATGTAGCATGACAGTCTTTACGGTACATACATATATGTATGTACACATATATCCCAATTCTAACTATGGAAATGTTGAGTTATTGTAAGGTATGGTAAAATATCATAGTATATGATAGTTTAATTTTACCAAATTTACATACCCCCAACAGGATTACAGAAAAGCCAACCCTGGCTATTATTAAGCATCGAGAGCATGGAAGATGATATCTTTTTGTTCATTTTTTTTGTATGTTGGCAGAACCTGGAGACATTTTACATGTAATGAAGCTTTAAATCGCTCATTTCTCTGATTAAAACTGGAAGCTAAGAAAGCTGAAGGGACTCCTTACCAGCTTTCTGGTGCTGAGGGGTGAATTCAAAGCATCTTCAAGATCTACAAAGCTATCACAATGTAAAAAGTATTCAGAATGTGGATTAATTTGGCCATGTTGTTTCATTTTCTATTATTAATTCCAACTTAAATGTGGCACTTCACCTTGGCATTCAGCCTGACCTTGACCTTTGTTTTTAATTTTATACAGGGTCTCATCCTGTACCTCACACTGGCTGGCCTGGAACTCACAGCTATCTTCTTGCTTCAGCCTCCTCAGTGCTAAGGTCACAGGCCATTTGCTCCGCTTGAGTTTATGCTTTTTCTCCTGGTTCTTTATCCAAAGATGCTCAATTAGGGGGATTTTATATCTAAACATGTATGGCACCAACTGGGAACAGTTTTTAAAAACCTGTGGTTGGAAAGCTGGGTTTTTATATCTTAATTATTTTGATTTCCTTACTGAGAAATGATGGCATAAAGTGGAAATTTACTGATTATCACAGAAATTAATGATAGAAAATACAATTTGAAAAGTATTTTTTCCAGTAGAGGAAATTTCATGTTGAGAGCAGGTAGAAAGCAGAGCTTTGTAAGTAAAATAGCCATGTGTTATTTATTATATTTTGTATTTTTGGTGGAGCATGTTGCTTTCAACCAAGCATATACCTTTGTACTTTTATCAGCAATCTTATTCCAATTTCTTATGCCTTGTCACAAATGCCAAATACTATGAGGGTTCCCATTCTTAAATGGCATCCATGGACTAAATCTATTAAATGAAAATATGAAAATCATTCCTCTGCTAATCAGAACACTTGTTTTCCTTTTTACAGGCATGAAGGATATGCACCAAGCAGTTACCTGGTGGAAAAATCTCCAAATAACCTTGAAACCTATGAGTAAGATACTGTATTTTTTGACTCACTTATTTGTATATTATTTGTTTGTCTGTTTGTTTGGTTGGTTGATTGGTTGGTTGGTTTATTGAAACAGGGTCTTATTGGGTAGCCTTGGCTGGTCTGGAATTCACCATGGAAACCAAGCTGGCCTAAAGCTCAGAAATTGGCCTGTCTCTGCCTCCTAAGTCTGCAGATAAAGGCATGCACTACCATTCCGTGCTATGATTAGATTTTTTAGAACGATGGTACGAAGGTTTTCTTCCAAGGTCAAGCATAAGTTATTGGTTGACTATAAAATTGTCCAATGGTTCCCTTTTTTGGCCTACTTTCTTTTCTTCTAGTCTCTGATCACACCATGGCAAGTGTGCAACACACACACTCCACAGACACACAATAATAAATAGATAAATAAATAAATAAATAAATAAAATGATTAAATATGCCTATCCATATGTCTTAAGTTATCTACAGAGAGTAGTAAATACACAAGCATTCAGCCACTGGTTCATCTAGGCAAAGGGTCAATAGGAGTTCCTTTATATTGTTTTATAACTTTTCTGTAAGTTTGAAAATTTTCAAACTTTATCATTATTGTACTTTATCCAAAGATGCTTAATTAGGGAGATTTTAAATCTAAACATGTATAGAACCAACTGGGAACAGTTTTTAAAGACCTGTGGTTGGAAAGTTGGGTTTTTATGTCTTAATTATTTTGATTTGAAGGATATGCAGAGGTCAGAGGACAAATTTCTGGAGTTGGCTCTCTTCTTCCACCTCTGTGATCCAGGGATTGAACTCATACTGTCTCAGTGATCACTTTTACTCGCTGAGCTGCCTTGCCTGCCTTGAAATACAGAGTTGTGGAGCCTAGTCCCAGTGGGTACATCCACAAAACACTCCCCTACATAAGGCTCGGGGACCATTGTAAGAGATGAGGCAGAAAGATAGCAGGAGCCAGAATAGTTGGGAGTTTACTGTGAGACTGAATCTCCCAGTATTGTCACAAGCTACGCCCATAAGGTCTCACCAGCATAAGCTCAACCATGAGCTGAACAAGGATGACACCAGTGAGCATGCCAACCCGGATGGAGAGATGCCCACAAGGGCTCAACACTACACAAAGGACCAGGGGCAACTGAGGAAGGAGCAAGCACATCGATTGGTTGTCCAGTGCCAAATGGTCAACCCTGAAGACATACACACAGCATTAGACACACTGAAGGGGTTTTAGTTAGGAGGAGGTACAATAACATTAGTGAAGAAAGAGGCTTTGAATTGGAAAGAGATCAGGGTATTTGGAGGGGTTTGGATGGAGGAGAGGGGAGAAATGTTTTAATTAAATTATAATCTCAAAACTTAAAAGAGGAGAGAGAGGGGAAAGGAGGGAAGAAGGGAGGGAGGGAGAGAGGGAGGGAGGGAAGAAGGAAGGAAGGAAGGAAAGAAGGAAGGAAGGAAGGAAAGAAGGAAGGAAGGAAGGAAGGAAGGAAGGAAGGAAGGAAGGAAGGAAGGAAAGAGAAAAGATAGCTAACTGTAACTGTGAGCCTGGGAATAAGCTAGTAAGCAGCATTCTTCCATGGTCTCTGCTTCAAGCTCCCCCTTGAGGCCCTGCCTTGGCTTCCCTGGATGATGGTCTGTAACCTAAAGATGAAATAAACCCTCCCACAAAAATAAAAACATTAGTACTCATTAAATATAAAACATCAGAGAAAAAGGATATGAGATAACCAGAACCTCTGCTAACTCATTAGGACTCGACGGCCAATACAATGATTTCTGCAATCTGAATAGATGCCAGGAACTAAGCACTATCGTTTTCTTAATAGTGTCTTTCACTATTTTGATCAAATATGTGTGAATAGCCCTTCCCAGGGCTGAGAGATGATTCATTCTTTCCAAGAATGTTTGTGCTGAGATGAAACACAGATGAGAGATACTTAGCTGAAACAATTGTTTTATAGTCACTGCCTTTGAAGGGGGAAAAATGGTTGTTTATTTCAAACGACTGCTTGGCTGAGTAGCTGTGTTTGTCTTGGCCTTTAATCAAAATCCCTTCGTTTATGATTCAAGAAGCAAATTTGAGGCCTCAACAAAATAAAGCAGTAGGGAATTGATGGACCCCTGAGGGCAAGTAAAAGTGTATATCCCCTACCTAATGGAATCTTAAGTCATTTTCATAATAAAGACCATATGGTCTGTGTACCAGTTTGTGCCATGTACTACCAGCTTGCATTTCCTGCGTTATGTTATCCCAGCTAGAAAATGACATAATGTAAGGAAATGTTCTGATATTTAATATATAGCTAGATATAGGAAAGCTATCCATATGTTTTATTCTTTAACTCAATTTTGATGACTTTAAGGTGAGTTTTGCATAAGAACTCAAAAATATACCACCTGCTAAAGTATCATGGGTTGATAACTAGATTCAGGTTTTCTGTCTTAGCCTAGAAGCAGAAAGTTGAACAAGTTCCAACCGCCTAGTAATTCCTGGGGGTGGGTTCCATGACCTACAGTGTATCCTGAAACTGCAGGTAGTTCTGAACTCAGTATGTACTATGCTTTTTTATCTACATACAACCTATAGGAGAGCTTACTTTAAATTAGATACATTGAGACATTAGCACTAATGGCTAGTGATAAAATAGAAGTTATAGCAATATACTACCATAAAATTGCCATCATAACTTGTCTTGCACAGAGTGCACTTGAACACAAACACAGCAATACTGTGGCACTATATCTAGTGACCCACACAGCAACAAAGTGACTAATAAGTAGGTATTGCATGTAAGTGGACTGGCTGTTTCAAGGGTGACTTATACCCTAGATGATTGTCATGAGATTTCATCATGCTACTCAGAACTTAGAATTGATCATTTCTAGAATTGCCCATTTCGTGTTTCTGGGACCATGAGCTGACTGTGGGCAACTGAAATCACAGAACAGCAAAACTGCAGAAGAGAGGCTACTGTACCTCACCCTCTGTGAACTTTGATCCCTCCTCTGGTAAAGAAAGGATCAGAGGAGAGACAGAGGCATGCAAAACACTGCACTGCAGACATTCCTTCACTGCCTTGTGCACTGAACATGAGCAGACCTCGGTCTATGTGAGTGACACCATTGTGTGAACCCAGACCTGAGTCACACTTTAGAGCACAGCTCTAGCGACCCATATGCATTCCTTGGACCTTGGATCGGATGAAGCACACTTGCTGGCCATCTGGCAGCCCATGGAGGTGTACAGTCTGCTCTGCCACGCAGTGGTTTAAAAGCTCAACGGAATCCCCTGGTTCTCTTCTTCTTGGATGCTCTCAAGTAGCTAAGCAAGTTTCAGAGACATCATTTCTTCCTCTCCTGCAGTTATTAAGCTCCAAAAATAAATTGTCGACTGATGATCATTCTCCTTTTGCTGTAGGCTTTCTGGCCCAGAAATAAAACCCTGTACGCTTCCTTTACCAGGAAGTAACTTATTATGTCAGCCTTCATGCTTCTAAAAATTATTATCCAAGTGCTAGAGAACTCTGAAAGTTACCGGGCTGAGGCGCTTATTCATGTTTTGGCTTTATGTATCTTGTATTTGATAGCACATGTTCAGTTGGATACTTTAAACTATCATTAAGGGCCAGACGGAGAAAGGATGGGTGAGTAAGGGGCTGCAGGAGAAATGTGCTGAGCTTGCACATCCCCACGGGACCATTGACCTACTTGCATGTCTGTACATCCTACTGCACGGGCTATTGATCATCCTCCAGGTACACACATGCATGGACAGTGAAGAGCCTGCATGGCTATTTCCTGCCTTTCTTCTTCTTAGCCCTGGGAGAGCCCCTCCTCCCCTGCCGCACTTTCTCTTACCTAAGTGATTAGGATGGTCAAGATATGTCTCCACATTGTAACAACATTCAAAACCTTTGTTCTTGAAAATGATTCCTGGTTTTGCCACTTATTAATTACACTCATCAATTACAAAAACTGCAAAAAGTCTGGGGGCCTAATCTTAAGAGGAAAATATGACAACCATTTTCAAAGGATATTTGCTAAACTTGCAAATTAGTATTAACGTTTTTTATGGCTGCCTATCACCCTCCTACCTACAGCCACCTACTGACATATGAAATGGGGGAGGTGAATGTTTTCTACAACACTGTCATGGAAAATTTCCAACTTGCACAAAAGTAGAGAGCATAGTACAAAGAAGGCCCTGAAACTCAGCTTCAGCAATTACTAGTCTGATGTCAACTCTTGCTTCATTCTTTTTCTTCTCCAGAAGAAACCTGACTACCTGGAAATGGTCATGGCTTTCCTTTTGAGTTGGAAAGCACTGATAAAAACAGAAAGCAAACACATGACTTTTGAGCATCATCTTTTATAAGTAAGCGATGAAGTTTTCTTTTTTTTTTTTTTTTTTTTTTTTTGGTTTTTGAGACAGGGTTTCTCTGTGTAGCCCTGGCTATCCTGGAACTCACTCTGTAGACCAGGCTGGCCTCGAACTCAGAAATCCGCCTGCCTCTGCCTCCCAAGTGCTGGGATTACAGGCATGCGCCACCACTGCCCGGCCAGCGATGAAGTTTTCAAACTGACCCATGGCTTGTTTTTGGCTTTCAGGTGGTACAATAAAAGCATCAGCAGAGACAAAGCTGAAAAACTTCTTTTGGACACAGTGAGTATCTGCATCCTAACTAAAAAGAAATTGTACGGTTTCCAGCCGTGTTATGGTTATGCTGGTGTGGTGGATTCCTGTGTTGGCTTGACAATGGCTTTCATGTCTGAGGACAGGTATTCTGAGGATTATTTCGGCTAGACAGCACAGGAAAGGAGGCCCGGGGAAGCGCTAGACCTGGGTGCTAAGACTGGCTGCTGCCATGACCTTGGCTTCAGGCCTGCTCTGCTTTTCCTTGTCTCTGGTATTCAGGAATGGATTCTGCCTAAAGGAGCTGTAGTTTACAGGAATCCTACAGATTTTTCACCTACAGTTTCTTCTCTGAAGCCTTTGCAGTCTGGCAGAGAGACTGACCTCACCCCAGGATCTTAGAGTTAGGGGAAAGAGGGCTAAGCCGAAAGCAAGCATGATATGATGGAATTGGTACCCCTGTTCAGGTCTCTGTTCTGCCATCAGTTCAGTGGGTGACTGTGGGGATTTCTCTTCTGCCTTCTGGGCCCCTATTTGTCATCGAGGACAAACTGAATATCGGAGTACATCGGGATGCCAGTGACCCGTTAGCTCCAATGGATGCTGCCCCTGTGTGCTCTTGGCCCTGAGCAATTAGACACTGCCATTGCACCTGGACCCCACTGGGAACCAAGACTCACTGAATAGTTACAAGTGACTGGAAGGGAGACCAGGATCAAAGGCATCAGAAAGTGTTCTCGTAGCTGGAGGAACCGAGCTGAGTCTTTGAATCCTCGAGTCTCCTTGGTTCTCAGTGATTAACCATCCCCGTGGTTCCCAATAGACCTTAGATCTGAGTTGCTGCAGGAGTTTAAAATGCAGATTCTCAGAGCCCTGTGACATGGCTTAGTGGGTTTAAGGTTATCCCATCAAGCCTAACAACCTGGGTTCAATACCCAGGACCTGCACGGTGGAGGAAGAGACCTGACTCCCACAGTTGTCCTCTGACCTCAGCATGCCTACTACATCCTGCTCACACACATAAAATAGATAAATGTAACAAAAATACAGACTCTAAGATTCCATGGCAGATCTGTAGAAACAGGACCTCCAAAGGTAACCTAAATTTTGTTTTCTCTCCCCCGACCCATTTGTTTGGTTGGGTTTTTCAAGTCAGGTTTTTCTAAGTAGCCCTGGCTGTCCTGGTACTCTTTCTCTACACCAGGCTGGCCTCAAATTCAGAGACCCACCTGCCTCTGTGTTCTAAGTACTGGGATTAAAGGCGTGCTCTACCTGGCTCTATATTTTCATGAACTGGATTTGGACACAGATGTAGCCAGCTCCTCTCGTTCCTCAGCCTGTGTTGCTGGGAAGCAGTAAAGCTTGATAAGAACTAAGTACAAAGCGCACAGAACTAGGACCCTGAATTACACTGCAGTTAAATAAGGACATTACCCTTACATTCCGTTGCATCCTTAATAAAGTCAATGTAGAGCTTCAAATAGCCCACGTCAATGACAAAGGAAAGCAGTTCTTGCTGTTGAGAAGTTCTGTTGAGGCATTTCAACATATTTTGCTTTCTCAGGCTGTTGAAACACACATTCCTTGCTAATATTTTGAATTCACTTACCAAATACCCTCTTCCTTCTTAGGTAAGTCTAAAGGCAAACTTCGGAGGGGCCCACTAAGCTTTAGTCTGGGTTCTGGACAGTAAGAATGGGATGAAGATTTCTTTCTATTGTTTACATGCTTGCTGTCTGACTCAGTAGTGTTGCTTCTCTGTTGTACTCAGAGTCTTCTTGTCTCACAAGTATATGCCTCTTAAGAGGTAGGTTATATTCATTTCCTCTGTTATTAACTAAAGCGTCTAGGTTACAGTCTATGTATGTGTATATGATATGTATATGTGTATATTCCTATGTTCTACTTTGTCCCTATTAAGTAAGCTTAGATTTAACAGTATCTATCACAAAACCCTTACTCAACAACCTTGTTCCATGAATGAGTTCACCCAGTGCTTACTGTGTTTTTAAGTTATCATGGCTGGCCTGGCCATGAGTATCTGTGCGGAAACTTTAAAAGCACAAACTCCAGCCCGGAGGTATGACCCAATGGCTAAAAATGCTTCCTGCTCTTGTAGAGAACCAGGGTTCAAGTTCCAGCACATATATGGCAGACCACAAGGGATCCAGTTCCCTCTTCTGGCCTCTGCAGGCTCCTGTATGTAAACTCACATAAGAGCGTGCACATAAGCATAAAAAATGTAAAACAGCAATGCTTCCCTACAGCAAACTTGCCTTTGAGAAGTGCTGTTGAGGCATTTCAACGTATTTTACTTTCTCAGGCTGTTGAAACACACATTCTTGCTAATATTTTACTCCAGGTCTATCCAATCCAAGGGGCACTGAAGTGATTATGTGACTTACATTAGTTTTGGGACACAGGAAAGAATCTCTTACATGTTCTGTCTATTCTTCAACTGATACCTCCTTTAATAATCCAGCCCTCTGCCTAGCCATGAGATGTGATACTTTTCTTGTTTGAACATTAAGACGAAATGTTATGTATCCAGTAGTTCTGTCTGCACTCTGCCTTCAATTTCAGCATTTCTAAGCCTTAGCCCCTCTAGAAAGGGTCAGTCCCTGTGAGCAGGCATTCTGTAACTATCCTCATGCGTGCAGTAGCGTCTTACACTTTAGGAGACCTACGTTTTAGACAAAAGCCTAACCTAGGTTTATTATACTTATGTGATTCCAAGATGTCATCAAAGATACAATGTTGACTTAAGTGGGTTTGTTTTGAAAGAAGAGCCCCATCCCACCCTGCCCCCCAATGAAAGACATATGTTGGAGACATTCTTAGAACATATTTCAGCATGACAAGACCACAAAACATCAGCCCATCTTTGAATAACATACCTTTGTTTTGAGATTACTATTTAAAAAGTTAGCTTCAAATCCTCTGTACAGAAAGATAAACACACTGAAACATGTTTCAGATAAAGACGAACAATAACCCTAATAGTCAATGTCCTGGGATTCTGTTCGAGGAACTGTTCTGTGCGTATTATTCAAGTCTACCAATGGTCATTTTTCAGATGAAGAAATTGACACATAAACTTCTAATCAGGAAACATCTGGAATTAACAATACTACAAGATAGAATTCCCTTGAAACACCACCTGATCCGTCTCCTTTGTGTTAAAGGCTGATAAGCTGGGGGCACCTTCAGAAAGTGGATCAGTGGTATGGCCTCTCCACAGCAGGGATATGTCGGAAATAGAGAGAGAGAGCGAGCGCGTAAGGAAATACATAAGTTACTCTTTTCTCCCATCCTTCCACGGTTATACACATACTTCTTCTAACATAATCATTTTGTTGTTGCTTCTTTTTTTTTTCTTCTAAATGAAGCAATAAAATTCACTCTGAGATGTTGACTGTGTTGAGAGGAAGTGAAGCCCCATCTGGCAACAGAGTCAGTGCCCCTGTGACACTCTTCAGGGGCCGTGTGCCTGTGGCTACCTCTCCGCTCCTTGCAGGAAGTATGTGGTAAGGCACATGCTTTCCTCAAACTCTTAGCTGCTTCAGCCACAGTGAGAGCCCATGTTGCTGTCACCAAACGTTTCCCACAGTAACTACAGTGGAGAAAGAGTGTGTTTGGAGGAGGTGGAGCTTTCCATGCTCTGCAGACCTGACTCTGACCTTACCTCTCCTCACCTGGTGTTTATAGAGTACTTAACAGCTGAGGCCTGCTGTAATCACAACTTGTTTACAGAAAAACAATGACTTCTTTGAAACCGGAACACCAACACAAACAGCCAGATATTCATTAGTTAGATAAAAGAGATGTTTACAGCTCCTTTCTTCAGACAGTTGGTGAGCTTCTGGTCTTTTTGGTCTGTTTCTTCCTTTAGAATAAATGACATAACCAGATAAAATCTGCCTCTGCTTGAGGCCTGTTTCTTCCTGTCTCCTGTTTAACCCATCACATTCCAACCAGCCAAGAGCCAAAGCTGCATACCGTGGCAAATGGTGAAAACTGGAGATAATTCCTGTTGAGCAAAGCCATCACACAGAAAGTCTCCACTCCAGCAGCCAGAAGGTGGCTGTCAGCTGATGAATGGAAATCAAGTATGGTCTGTCCCTAAAGTGGAATGTCATTCAGCCACAAGTAGGAGTGAAGTCTTTACACCTGTTACCACCTAGGACGTCCTTGGAAAGAATATTATAAATAAAAGGACCCACTCACAGAAAACCACATGTGATTCCACTTACAAAAATGTCTACACAAAAACGTCTACAATAGGCAAATCTATTTTCAGAATGCTTATTAAAATGCATATCAGCATGCTCATTCTCTCTCTCTCTCTCTCTCTCTCTCTCTCTCTCTCTCTCTCTCTCT